ATCCAGTACCATTTCTGACCTCTATCAAAGCAGTTTCAAATAGGAAGTATTTCCTCCATCTAATTCTGTAATGGTGTTCCCAATAAATGTGAATGTTCCCCCATGTTTTAGCATTTGGAAAAGCCAGAATCACAGGTTGGCTTTCTGACAGGATATTGTATGAGACAGCCTTGGGTTTGTTTTCTCATAGAAGAACAAAGCCTGAGGTGATTTTGCTGAGCTATTGCCTCACAAGACTTGAATTCTTTTTTTTTTTTTTTTTGGTAGAAGTAGAAGGTATTTACTTGAGTTTCCAGGCAGCTCTAGGCTGTAATATTCCCTTCTGCAGTAGGGATTCAGCTTGATGCATACTTCCTACTAATGATGTGTGCCTTCCAGACCTCAAGCAGGGGGAGAGGAGAAGGGGAGCTTTGATTGATGCTCAACCATGTGCTGGGAGCAGCTAAGTGATGCTATTAGTGGCAACAAATTTTGCCAGGTGGGAGGACATATGAAAGGTCTGTCCTACAAAAAAAGATGGTTTTAGTAACAAATAGTCAGCTCCCAGTATGAGTTTCAAGCTACTTTGAGCAGAGCTGAGTGTCAGGAAAATGGAGGCCAATTTCTTTAGGTCAAGTCTTCTCTTTTTGGCATATATACCTCTTAAATTTCATATGGAGCTAGAAGGAATCATCATAGAAAGGCAACTGGTACCTGCTGCATGGCATAAGAGCTGACGGAGAAAAGGAGTAATTTCCAGACTGTAATTTTAAAATTGCAATGTTATTCAGTCGTTTCAGAATGCAGCAGATGATCAAGAACCTATGATATTTAAAGATGAAATCCAAACTTCACAGAAGGCACTGGTGAAACCCAAGGTCACAGGAACTGATGGGATGCCAACTCAGATATTTCAACAAACTGATGCAATGTTGGAAACACTCCCTTGTCTATGTCAGGAAATGTGAAAGACCTTGCCAATTGTTTAAAAGATATCCATGTTTGTGTTTATTTCAAAAAAGGTGATCCAATAGAATTCAAAAATTATCAAGCAATATTATTAATACCATTGTTGTTGTTGTTAGGTGCCATTGAGTCATAGGCAA